GAGGCCCCCAGTCTGGGTGTGTGTGTGGGGGGCTGAGGCAGCACCAGGCTCCCACCTGACACACCCCAGGTGCCCTGACCACTTGTCTCCCCCAGTCTAGGGACAGGAAGATGGTGGGCGACGTGATCGGGGCCCAGGCCTTCGCCTCCATCGCCAAGTGCCTGAACATCAGCGCTCTGACCATCCAGCTCCTCGTTGTCCTCGCGGTTATCATCCTTGTGATTGTTATTTTCACTGCTGCTCGCACGAGGTTATTAATCTGAGCCCTGTCGGAGACGAAGATGTACCCTGAAGTCCAACAGCAGCTGCCCTGGAATGAGGCCCCGTCCCCGCCATCCCCTCCCGCCTGTGCCTGCTGTGGTCCCCTCCCCTTCACAGAGCAGTTGGTACTCACATGTCTGCCTCTGATGGGGTTCAATAAAGTGCACGTGTGGGTAATGGGGCTGTCGCTGTGGAGGGGACATGCTGAGGGTCGCAGCTGGGTCCTGAGCCTGAGCCAGCCCCGGCCCCCTGCTGTGGCACGGAGGGCGGGCAGGTCCTGGTTGGGCTGCTTCCTGGCCTCCTGCTGGGGGCAGCAGCTGGACTGGGGTCCTGAGTGGGGTCTCATCACCCTGAGGTCTGAGTACTGACCAAGGCTGCCCCGTGTCCAGGATGGCCCAGCCTCACTGTCATGCCACCGACTGGACAAGTGGCACCCAGGCCCTGCGGGGACACGTGGGGTGCTGGTGTCTGCGGCAGCCGAAGGAGCCGGGCGCTGTCCCTCCTGGGCCCTCTGCCCTCTGTCCTGCTGCTGCCCCTTCAGTCCCCAGGGTTTGTTCCAAAGCCCTGAGGTCTGCAGGACCAGTTCCTTGACAGCAAAGCGGCCTGGCGCCTCCCTGTGGAAGAGGCGCCCAGTGCCCCAGGGTCTCCCAGCACACTGGGATCCTCAGGCAGTGGCCTTGACCTCTGTACCCGCGGGAGCTGCACTCTGTGGAGGTGGGGGCTGGGGCCCTCCCACGCGCCCTTGGGGATCCTGGCTGGCCAGGGTTCCAGCATGGGCCCCTCCCACCTTCAGCCAGTGGCCCCCAGCCTGGAGTTTCCCCATCTGCCCTGGATCCACCTGGAGTGGAGTGGGGTGTCGGGTCGCTGCCCAAACACCCACAGTCCCTTTCCCTTGCTCAGCCTGCAGGGGAGACCCCGCGCAGGGCTAGGGGAGCTCACTGGGGCCTCTGCCCGGGCCCTACGTGTGAGGCCGAGGAGGGACTGAGGCCAGGCGCAGTCCGGAGCCAGCGGGAGGAAGCGGGCACACAGGCCTCAGCGCATGAAGACGAAACTTGCTTGGGGGCTGGAGGTCCGCGGCACCCCTGTGGGCCTGGCACAGCGCAGGGGGCGAGGCAGGGGGCGCTGCCGAGGACCAGACCCCGCCCCGATTCGGAGGGGTCCCCGGATGGGCCGCGCGGGGCGAGCGCCTGGGCGGTCAGCTTCGGGCAGAAGCCCCCTCCCACTGCGGGAACCTGCGAAGAGGGTCCGGCCGGGGGGGAAAGGCCCCGGGACAGCCGGGACCCCGGATCCCGCGCTCCGGGAACTGCGGGAGCGGCCGAGGCGCCGGCAGGGGAGC